CAGTTGTTATCTATACTAATGACCAACTGGTTATAAATCAGAGGTTTCCAAGGCCCCCTCCCTCCTTGGATTCCATTATTTGCTAAAGCAGCTCACAGAACTCAGAGAAACATTTTACTTATGAGCATCACCAGTTTACTATAAAAAGATATAACTCAAGAACAGTGAGATGGAAGAGATGCACAGGGCAAGGAATAGGGAAAGGGCCTGGAGCTTTCATGTCCTCTACGGGTCCTTTGGATTTTTATGGAGGCTTCATTACATAGGCATGATTGATTGGCTGTTGATCCACTCTCCAGTTCCTCTCCCTCCCTGGATATCAGGGCATAGGACTTAAACTTCCAACCCTCTAATCACAAGGTTGGCTCCATTGTATCCAGCCCCATCCTTAGATGCTTTCGAAAAGTTAACATAATAAAATACATCTTTATCACTCTCAGCACAGGAAAATCCCAGGGTTTTGAGAGTTGTGAGTCAAGACTGTGGACAAAGATTGAAGCTATATGAGAAATATATTTTGGTCATCTGAATGACCAAATAAATACATATGTCGTTCTTATACATCACAATATTACATTCCCCCTTTAATGTATTTCTTTTGGTAGCATTACAGAGCCTAGTGGAGAGAGTCTCACAAACATCTGGGATTGGGCAAACCTGGGTCCTTCCCCATGGACCTTGAGCCTAAATTGTTCTGTGCCAATGTTATCGGAGAAATCGGGGTGTCCTCTTCATCACTGGGTGCTGGAGATGGAGTCCTTATGCTATCATGAGAAAAATAATGTTCTGAGACTCTCATGGGAGGATGAGTGACTTTTATTTGCATGGAATTACATCCCTGGGTTTCCCAAGTCCCATTCCAGTCATAGAACAAGTGTCGCTGGGGTTTCAGTAAAGCTAGAAGCAAAGTCAGAGTCCAGAGTTTCCGTTCCATGTTGCAGCCTGGTAGTTCAGCATCAGGCTAGTTGCAGTCCATTAGTCTATCGTATGTGGGGGTCCACTTGGCCGTGGGCACCCCGAGCAATAAGAGTCCTAAAAGCATAAGAGGAACCAAAAGAAACCAAGAGCACGAGAGCACGAGTTCCTTTGTTCAGGAGATTAAATCTCCCAAATTGCTCGCCCTTGCAGTGGCCATGCCCATTCGGGCCAATGATCTGTTCCCAGGTGTGACTGACAAGCAAGTACCTTCCCAACATCACCCCAACTTTACTGGGCATGTAACTATTCTCCAACCGGCCAGGCCTCCCACCCCCAAATTTTGGGGGAATAGACTGCTGGTTCCCTGGGGAATATAAAGCTTAGCTTCCGGGTAAAGCTGCCTAAATGACATGCCTATAATTTTTGGCCTTCCCTTTGTTCCTTTCTTGTTATTAATAACTAGGTTAATTATAATGGTATCTCCAAGACTGCCATCTAGCTGGGCTCCTCCTCTTAGTCTGTCTGTATACATACTGGCCATACTCAAAAGTCACGTGGCTTCTCAGTTTTCTGCCCTGAGGCTTCCTTTACAAAACTTTAAGCCTCTGGAAGTATATTTTAACCAGCATTATAGTTTCCCTTTTTTTAAATTCATAGTTTTAAAACGTTTATTATACACCTACTACCAGCATAGCTTTGGGCTAGCCCCTACACGGACACACAAAAAAGTGTAAAATAGATTTAAGCTTACGGTGAAAATGAGGACATATGACCAAACATTAGAAGTAAATTAAAAGCCGAATGTCACCAGAGTCATTGGCCAAGCTGGAGTGGGGAAGGGAGTATGGAGGTGAGATCCAAGGAAGGAAGGAGGCCGCCTAGCTGGAAGGCATCCAGAAACTGGGATAGCCTCTGGTTTTGTTCTAAAAGGTTGAGTGTATTTGGAAGGAAAAACTGAGGCACTGGGTGAAGAGTGTGAATTTCAGGTAAAGGACACAAGTAAAGTTGTTAATAGATAGACCGAAGCATAGTAAAAATTTTAAGAGCTCTTTGAACAAAAATCTATTCTAATCAGACATTGCCTGACTCAAAATGGCTAGAAGCACTCCACAGACAGGAGCCAGGGGAAAGATTCATATAGAGAATAATGGAGAAGCAAAGAAAGGAAATTATTTGACTGGCTATAGCCTAAAGCCTGACTGGTTTTCCTTCAAGGTTTGGTTTTTAACTTTGAGGCATTTACAAGCTTAGATTTTGGTTTGCTTATTATGTAGGCCAGCATGGCACTGGAGCCACATCAGTCTTAGGGCCTCCTTGTTTAATTAATTTCACAAGTTACAGAGCTGGGAAAATGCAGGGCATGTTTTAGTTTGAACTCAGAGTAGAGTAAGGAGGGGAAGCTGTGGGAGTTCACACTAGAATTTGCAAGTCAGATCCTGTCCCTCCTCTGCTTATGACTTCTCATCTCATTTAGAGAAAAAGCCACAGTCCCTACAAAGTAGCCTACAAGCTGCTACAGCATCTGCTTCCCTCCCCCAGTTTCACCACTTTGTTCCTTGCTCCTCCTCCTCCTCTAGCAGGTCAGTCTTCTGCAGTTCCTTTCTCAGGCTGAGAGCCCCACCTCAAGGTGCTTGTTTCCTTTCTGCCCAGGGCTCTCTTCTCCCAAATGGCTGCATGGCTTCCCTTTCGCTTCTTTCAGATCACCTTTATCAGAAAGGCCTGTCCTGACTTCTCTATGTAAACTCCCCTCCCCATTCCTGCTGCTCCTCATTCTGCTTACTTTGCTTTATTCTTCTTCTTAGTACTTAGGAAGTGGGTATATAGGTTTACTAACATCCTATGGATATTAGCTTGTGAATTGTTGCCTGTTTTCAGCCATTGGAGTGTATATTCTCTGAGGTGAGGACTTAATGCTGCATCCCCAGGACCAGTGCCTGACACATATGTCATACCCAAATATTTATTAGAAAAAAACACACAAAACAACACAAAAAACCAACAAGGACAGAGTGTGAGGAAGGGAAGGAGTTTAGATGTAGGTCCTATAGGCTTTTGCATTCTAGGAAGAGGAATAAAATTTTAATTCCTTAGTGGGTGGGTAGCCAAGGCAAAGTTTGAATGGGGGACTAAGAGCAAAAAAAAAACACATTTAGTTTAGGAAGATTCATTTGGTAATGATGTTTAGGATGGATTTTTAAAGGAGAAATTCACATGATAGAAAGAAAGAAAAGGGAAGGGAGGGGAGGGGAGGGGAGAAGAAGGGGAAAGGGAAAAAAATAAAAATAAATAAAAGAGAGGGAGAGAGGGAGGAAGGAAGGAAGGAAGGAAGGAAGGGAGGGAGGAAAAGAAAGCCCGGATAGTATGGGTCAGTGGTTGAGCATCGACTTATGAACCAGAAGGTAGCCTTTCATTCCTGGTCAGAGCACATTCCTGTGTTGCAGGCTCAACCTCCAGTAGGTGCCGTGCAGGAGGCAACCAATTGATGGTTTTCTCTCATCATTGGTTTTTCTATCTACCTCTCCCTCTCCCTTCCTCTCTGAAATCAATAACAAAAATTTTTTTTTAAAGAAAATTAACATCAACTTCCCCTCTCCCCGCTTTGCTTCCAAAAGCCAGCACTATGTATACACTTTAAAACAGACAAACCAGCCCTCACCGGTTTTGCTCAGTGGATGAGCATGGGCATGCGGACTGATGGGTCCCAGGTTCGATTCCGGTCAAGGGCATTTCCTTGGTTGTGGGCACATCCCTAGTAGGGCGTGTGCAGGAGACAGCTGATCGATGTTTCTAACTCTCTATCCCTCTCTCTTCCTCTCTGTAAAAAAATCAATAAAATATATTAAAAAAACAACAGACAAACCAAGAAACCTTTTCATTTTGAAATCATTATTCTCGAGAAATGGCTAAAATAATTGCTTAAATTGCTAAAAGCAAATTCCCTTCTTATACTTTCCCCCCAATGATAGTATTGGGGTAAATACTATATACATTACCACAGTACACTGTCAAATCCAGGAAAATGACCTTGGTACAATACTATTAACTCAGATACAGGTCTTAGTTGGCTTTCACCAGATCTTACGTGCACTTTTGTGTATGTGTGTGTGTGCATGGGTGTGTGTTTGTAGTTTTATGAAATGTTATTATGTGTACAGGTGTGCTTTTCTAATAATTCTGCACCTGATTTTGAAGATTTTGATAGTGTTAGTATATATTTAAACCCACTTTAATGCTACTCTTCAGGTTCTTGTTCTCCCACATTTCCATATGAATAAACTGAATGACCTGTTGTTTTTTGCTTTTATTCCTCTGCCTAGGTATTTCTTGTAGCCTTTCTGTTCTATACCAAAGATGCTTTTAAAATTTTACTTAACAAGTATTGACAATTCATATTACTTACTAGGTCTTAATTTTTTTTTATTTTAAAACTAATACATTACACTATTATTTTTCCTGTTGGTCATTTGTCTACGTAACCATTCGTATCTTTTCTGATAGTAAACTATTTCTACAAGACTCTTAATAGGGTTCTAAAGTTTTTTTCCCTTTGCCTACTCTGTACTACTAGTTAGAAATATATTTCTAGTAAATAATTTACCAGTAATTTCAGAATTGGGAAGGATAGAGGGTGGGAAAGAGATGCACTTAATTCTTTCAAGTTGTAGTGTCAACAATAAAAATAGAAGATTAAAGAAAAGGAGAAAAAATGAAACTAAAAACAAAACACCCCAAAATCAAACTTTTAGCGGTTTTAGATATTCTGCTAACCGTATTATTTTACTAAAAGCCCGCCTTACTTGGTTTTATATACTGTGGGACATATTTGTCTTTTAGTTAATTAGATTTTCTAAAACAACATGGTCAAGTTAAATCTTACATTTTAATTTCTGCAGCTGTGCTCTGTATGTGCCATATATATGTTTACATATGTGTTCTATGTGATTACACATACTTATATATTTTTAATGTTTAAGGTGATAATTGATGATCTTCAGTAGGGTGCTTGATTAATATAAGGCCTATGTGTGGTAGCTGGAGAAAACCCAAGTTCTGTGTGAACATACTTGATACATCTCTTACAGATTCTGAGTTCTGTCCGCACGGAATGGGATCCACTGGATGTTCGTTTTAGCACCAAACAGACTTACCAGGTGTTGACAGTGGAGCGCTCCATCAGTGCAGACAAAGAGCCCATGGCTGACAGCTGCATCTATGAATGTGTTCGGAACAAAATCCAGTGTGTCTCGGTCACCAGAATACCACTAAGATCGAAGGCCATTAGCTGCTGCAGGAATGTTACTGAGGACAAACTGATTCTGGGCTGTGAAGATTCCTCCGTAATTCTTTATGAAACTCACCGTAGAGTGACTCTCTTAGCCCAGGCTGAACTCTTGCCTTCATTAATAAGCTGCCACCCAAGTGGCACCATTCTGCTAGTTGGCAGCATCCAAGGAGAGCTGCAAATTTTTGATATGGCTCTCTCCCCTATTAACATCCAGCTCTTGGCTGAAGACCGCTCACCCAGGGAGACTCTGCAGTTCAATACATTTTTCAATGTTCCCAGCAGTCTTGTTGAAATGCAGTGGGTAGCTCCACAGGCTGCTTCTCAGAAGCCCGAAAGTGGGGACATCTGTGATCTCCTCTTCCTCAGGTTCAACAGAGGCCCTTTGGGTGTTCTTTTGTTTAAACTTGGTAAGTAAAGGAAGTTGGTGAGTAAGTAAATTAAAGTGTTTATGATGGTGAGATTATAATTAAGACAACAAAACTATTCTTGGAATGTATTTTCTACTTGTCATCCCATAAATATGCTTGCCTTTCATACATTTCATAGAGCTTCCTTAACGCTTTGTGGATGAGTTTCTAAATGTCAGGAAACATTCTTTAATATCATTAGATAATGATATTGAAGAATTTGGAAATTACACTAAGTATTCAGTGTGATGAATAAAAAGCCTGAAATTTCACATTTGACACTGTCCAAAATAAACTGTCTACCAAAAAAACTTTAAGAAATAAGTATGTGATTATTTTGTTTAGCATTTTAAAATTTTTATTGATTGATTTTGGAGAGGAAGAGAGAGAGACATTGACATCAGTTTGGGGTTCCACTTATTAATGCATTCATTGATTGTTCCTTATATGTGCCCTGACCTGGGACTGAACCTGCAGCCTTGGTGTATCACGACAATGTTCTAACTGAGCTACCCAGCGAATATTTTAAAAGCACTTAATATATCCATTAAAAAATTCTTTGTAGGACTGTAATACTTTATTTTTAAAAATAATTTTAGGTTATAGGTATCCATTGCTTACCAGATTGGAATTGTGTAAAATAAGTGTTTTGAAAAAAAGGAAAGCAAATGTTTAACTAGCTTTTGGTAAAGATATTTGTGTAACTTTTTTGTTATCCTTTTAGCTAAAAAATTCAAAAGGATTTATCAATATTATGAAATTTCTGTATTCATACAGTCCATTTCAATCAGGAAACGTTAAAACAAAGTTTTATTATCCTCCTATATAATAAAAGGGTAATATGCAAACCTACTGAATGGCGGAATGACCGGCCGCTATGACATGTACTGACCACCAGGGGACAGATGCTCAACGCAGGAGCTGCCCCCTGGTGGTCAGTGCGCTCTCACAGGGGGAGTGCCGCTCAGCCAGAAGCCGGGCTGATGGCTGGTGAGCACAGCGGCCCACCTCTGTGGCAGCGCTAAGGATGTCAGTGGGACATCCATCCCCCCAGGGCTCCCTGACTGCAAAAGGGCACAGACTGGGCTGCAGGGCGCCCCCCCCCCCCCCCCGCTCGCCCCCACAGTGCATGAATGTGTGCACCGGGCCTCTAGTTGCTGTATATTTGCCTTTTGTGGTTTTCCATTTCTAGCTCTCTCCTGGAATATCTGATATTCTTTAGGTGGTTTTGTATAATTTAAAATTCTTAAAAGACCTTTGCTTAGGTTTGAAAAAATAGACTTTAATTAATGCACATTATTGCTACTTGAAAACTTAAAAAAGTAAATACATTTTAAACCCCTGACCGGATTTGGCTCTGTGGTATAAAACTAAGTTTTTAAAGACATCATAATAATGTTTCTGAAGTAGCTCTCAGTTTACTTTGTTTTTGTATGGATCTATTTGCCTCTGAAGTTGAACACATGAAATCAGTCTAGTGAAAATGACTTGATTAACCTGAAAGATGTGGATATAATGTGAGGGCTATGTTTTTCTTCTCTCACATAATAAAAATGCAACTGGATCTATTCATAATGTTAATATTGTCAAAGAAAAAATGTTTGGAATTTCACTTATTATGAGATAATCCAGTTTGACTTTGCCCCACTGCATTTTTAACAGTTGTATGTCTCCATATACAACACTCATTAAAGTAGATGTTAGATGTTTTGCATGTCTGTTAAAACACACACACACACACACACACACACACACACACACACACTATAAATTACCCAGTTACCTGTCAAACAGAAGGCTGTCTGCCCACATATACCTAGCTCTTCTTCAGCCCTCCCTTGTGGGCCTACTAACAACAGCTTTGCAAAAAGCACAGCTTTCTCTTCCTATCTCTAGCACATTTGCCTTCTTACTAAAGTAAACAGGCTCTCAGTGTAGGGATTTAGAGGGCTCCCTGCTAATTGCCAGCTTGTAAACTTAATTGGACTGTCTCCCTGGGCACTGTTCCTAAATCAATTAGGCAATGAGTTGGCTGTCACCTCTTTTTCCCAAGAAGGTCTCTTGGAAGAGAGTTATCCAGTAGAAGTCAAGCATTCGAATGAAAAGGTGATAACTTCTGCAACTGACATTTATCATTTATATTTTATTTTCAATATGACTGTTACATTTTATAGAATGGGGGAAATTTACAGTCTTTAAAGGATCTAATATGGAGCTTCCCAGGATTTAAAAAATGTGTTATAAGATTAATGTTTTATTACAGATTACTTTTTTCCCTAGGCAGAGTAGATTCCTTGAAACAGTAGATTCCAACTAGCAGATTTTTTAAAAGAAAACTCTGTTTAAATGACAGATTTTTCCTAGGCTCTGCTACTAAATACATCCAAAAATTTTAATATACTTCTTGAATTAACACAGTGCTGATTCTGGGCATCCATGTGGAATTTTCATGTATAATTCAAGTTACTGCATATATAAACAGGTATTTACATGTGCAGTTTCCCTACTGGGGAGCATTTATGAGTTTTTTTTCATGTGCTTGTTATGCAAGCCTTTGGAAAATTTGACATGAAAGGTGTAGCTTACAATTTAAGAAGCTGAGAGAGATCATAGTTTAAAATAGAATGCTGTCACTTGTAAACGTGGCCCTGCCTGGTGCCAGCATCCTAAGACTTTTGGAGTTTGACACTTAGAATAGGTAAGTTAGTGTTGAAGGAAAACTGTTTCCAGGCTAACATTTCCATCTAAATCCTTATAATCATCAATCAGATCATTGGGGATTTACTAGTAAAGGCCATCATGACTGTTATTAGAAGAATTCAAAGAACATGTCTTTTTCAAGAGGGAGCTAGTAGAGTCATCTTCCACAGAGAAGCCAAGAAGTGTACTATTTTATACAAGGCAATATGTAATTAGAATTTCTTTACCTGACAGTCAGTCACTATCCCGTATTTCCACATATATAGACTAGGATTAATTTTTTTAAAAGGGGTCCCTAATTATACTACTGAGATATATTAAAGCTTTTCCATTCTTACAGTGCCTTTTCCAACCTTCACTGCTCTCTTTAAACTCAGAGAATTTCACATTTTAATTGGCTCTTCATCAAGCTTATCTGCTGCTCGCCACCCACCCACCCGACTAACCAATCACTTATGTACATTTACATAAATCTTACCTTCTCAATTCAATGAAACAGGAGTCCTTCCTCTCCTAGACTAGTTCCACCACTACTTCCACTCTGGATCCCACAACTTTCCCTTTGACATCTATACTTTGTGACCCTCCCCAAGTCCCAACAAATCTGGCTACATCAGCAGATACAGGCCAAATCATACCATGAAACAAACACATCGCTTTCTTAAAATTGTTTCTCCTCTGTTAATCAAATATGTGTTCACCTTCCTCTCATTGTCAACTCATTGAAATATGAGTGAACACTGACTTTCTCTGCTTTTTCACTTCCTATTCACTCTTCACAGCACCAAATTCTGGCTCTGTCCTTCATATTCTCCTAGAACTGTGCTTGGAAAGGTCACCAGTGACTTCCTCATTGATACATATATTTATTTTATTTACTTAATGATTTCTCAGCCTTTGATGGTTGATGACTACTTCCACCGTCATTAAACTCTTATCACAGTTGCCTTCTATGATCCCAGAGGCAATTTTTCATCACTTTTTATGGCCTTCATTTACTTATGAAATGTTGAGGCTCTCTAAGGTTCCATTTTTTCACTCTCCTCCCATTTTATACAGATTAAGAGTTTATTTTTAATATCCATCGCTGAGTTCAGCCCAGACCACATCTGACTCCACATCCACATATTTGCCTGTCTTTATGGATACCTCCCCTTGGATGCACACAAGTGCTCCAGACTCATTGTGTACAGATACGAAGTCATCATCTTTCTCCCCAAACTTACTTCTCCTGTATTCTCCATGTTGGTGGATGGTACAGTTATTCAGATAGAGTCTCAAGTCAGAAGTCATTCTGGAATCCTCTCATCCTTAATAGCTTATCAAATTAGTGACCAGATGTCATCAATTCTGCCTTCTAAATGCTGTCGAAGACATCTCAATCTATTCAGCCTGGCCGTCATTCCCTTAATCTAGTTGTTTCCTGTTTTCCCATGATCAAGCAGCGGCCAACTGTCCATAATTTTCTGCCTACCAATCTTCCCATCCCCCTCACCCCAAATTAATCTAACAGTGTAGATTTGGGTCAAGGATTCTCCAGCCTCACGTCCTTCAGTGTCTGATAAGCCCTTGTGAGCCTCTCAGGCTTCATCTCTCCAGCTGAGCTGCACTGGTGTAGCTTCCCAATCACAGCATGTGCTCTCACACTGCCTCCTTCCCACAGTGGTGTTGACAGTATTCCTCTACCTGGAATGCCCCCACAATGCTCTCATGGAACCTACAAAGTTGGGAAAAGTTAATTGTTCAAGTGATGCTGACTTCTTCCCTCTTGTAGGACTGAAAATCACAGGCAATATGTGTATGTGCTTGTGCATGTGTGTGTGGCCGTCACACTCAAAAACAAATAGTATGACTTTTAGAACCTATTTAATCTGTGGAAATCTTCAATTTGGTGTGTGTATCTGTAAATTTTCCTTTACTGAGTAGTATTGCATTAATCAGCGGTTCTCAACCTGTGGGTCGCGACCATCGGAAAACACATACGGCATATCAGATTTTAATTTTGCTTTATTGCTTAAAATATTACAAAGAGTAGTACGTACGTCTCCTTTTTATTTTCCCCCTTGACCTTCCCCCGGCCTCCCCTACCCCCCAGTGTCTTGTGTCCATTGGTTATGCTTATATGCATGCATACAAGTCCTTCAGTTGATCTCTTACCGCCCCGCTCCACCCCCCCCCCCCCCCAAACCCTCTCTGGCTTTCCTGCTATAGTTTGACAGTCTGTTTGATGCTGCTCTGCCTCTGTATTTTTGTTCATCAGTTTATAATGGTTTTTATTATCCATAAATGAGTGAGATCAT